AATGTATGGGAGTCGTTCCATCCTTCTCTTCAGGATGTTGAGAGTTTGAGCAGTCCGGGTTGCATGGTATTACAATGAAAAAAATATTATCTCCAGATCAGAAGGAGCTACTGGGTACCGAGCTGGTTTGCGCCAAGGCAAGGGGGTAAAATAGATACTGGAGATCACACTCCGATTAGACAAAGGTACTATGCGATATCTCCGTACATGCAGAAGATCATGTATGACGAATTGGATCGTATGTTAGAGTTAGGAGTAGTACAGGCATCGTCTTCGGCTTGGTCATCACCGGTAATATTGGTGAGGAAGCCGGATAATAAATATAGATTCTGTGTAGACCACAGGGCCCTAAATAAAGTAACTAAGAGGGACGCTTATGCAATTCCGTATATTTCAATGATATTAGATCGCCTTCGAGATAGTACATTTTTGTCATCAATAGATCTCAAGAGTGCATATTGACAGATAAAGCTTGAGGAAACTAGTAGGGACAAAACTGCCTATATTATTCCGGGGCGTAGCTTATACGAATTTACCAGAATGCCATTTGGGCTATACAATGCGCCTGCAACGTGGCAAATATTTGCGGAAAATACTCTTGGGCATGATTTGGAACCCTTCTGCTTCATTTACTTGGACGATATTATTATCGCCACCCCTGACTTTGAGACACATGCTATTGTGTTGCGGAAAGTATTCGAGAGGTTAATTAATGCAGGACTAACGGTGAACCAGGAAAAGTGTGAATTTGTGAAACCTCACCTAAAATATTTGGGTTATGTGGTTGACCAAAATAGCTTGAGAGTAGACCCGGAAAAGGTTGAGGCGGTTGTTAATTTCCCAACTCCTTCTAAGGTAGAAGAAGTGCGTCGGTTCCTCGGACTCTTCATGGTACTTCATGGTATCGAAGGTTTGTTCCAAATTTTTCAGCGAGAGTGGCTCCATTAACAAATCTAACTAAAAAAAAATTAACGGTTCATATGGAACGAAGAAACTGAAGCAGCTTTCACAAACCTTTAACAATGTTTGGTAACTGCACCAATACTAACTTGCCCCAACTTCGACCGTCCCTTTGTTATCCAGACGGATGCCAGTCAAAAGGCCTTGGGTGCCGTATTAGTTCAGGAATTTGAGGAAGGAGAGAAAGTCATTGCTTATGCCAGCAGGACTTTGAACTCTTGCGAAACCAAGTACTGTGCAACAGAGTTGGAATGCTTGGCTGTGATCTGGGCAATAAAAAAGTTTCGTTGTTGTAAGGGGTCCATTTTCAGGTTGTTAGCGACCACGCTAGTCTCAAGTGGCTAGCTAACTTGAAAGAACCATCTGGGAGGCTTGGACCTAGGGTATTGCAACTCCTAGCCTACGAAGGGTAAATATCATAAAGTTCCAGATGCGTTATCGCGAGTTGTTACTCAGTTAGATCTGATCGATGTTAGCAGTAGGGATCTCGATCCATGTTATTGGCGGCAGCTGGGAAATGTTGAGACCACACCAGATCGGTATCCATTATGGAAAATCGAGTCAGGTAAGCTCTTCAAGTATGTGTCGAGTAGAGGATCTCACTTAGAGGAGACTTTTGAATGGAAACTAGTGGTGCCAAGGACAAAGAGAGAAGAGGTACTCATTGAGTGTCACGATGACGTTACGGCAGGGTACTTAGGTATTTCCAAAACTTCACAGAGAGTTGCCCAAACTCATTATTGGCCGGGAATGAAGAAAGAAGTTGCGAAATATGTTCGAAGTTGCGAAGTTTGTCAAGCTCAGAAACCAGAGCAGAAGGCTCCATCTGGTATAATGGGAACGAAGAAGGTGACCCGACCTTGGCAAGTTGTGTGCACTGACATCATGGGACCGTTCCCTATAACTTTTCACAGTAATAGGTTTTTGTTGGTTGTAGCCGATGTCTTTACAAAATATTCCTTATTTTTTCCTCTCAAGACAGCTACGATGGCTGTTATTCAACGCCATATTGAAAATGTCGTTCTTATGGTCTACGGGGTTCCCGAATATCTGTTGTGTGATAATGGTAGACAATATGTAGGTAAATCATTCAGAAGTATGGTTAAGGAATACAACCGTACTATGATTCTCAACCCTCTTTATCATCCGCAGAGTAATCCTACCGAGCGGATAAATCGAGTTCTCAAAACTATGATCAGATCCTACGTAGGAGACAATCATCGGAATTGGGATCTACACTTGCTCAAGCTAGGTTTTGCCCTTCGAACCGCAGTCCACGAGGTTACAGGCTATACACCGGCTTATCTCAATTTTGGGAGAGAGTTGAATCTCTCAGGGAAATCTCCACATGATTCAACGCCATTGGAAGGTTCACCGGCATTTGAGGTCGATGAAAGGAGTGCTTCAGCCAAGCATGTTGAGAAATTAGAAGGCGTTCGCAATGATGTGAAAAATAGATTGAATTTGGCTCATAGAAAAAGCGCAGTCAGGTTTAATTTGCGAAGAAGACCTGTGACTTTGGTAGGGGAGACACGGTTATGGTAAGAAATCACGTTTTATCGGATGCAGGTAACTATTTTGCCGCCAAATTGGCACCCAAGTTTATTAAGGCTAGGATTCGTCAGAAAATATCGAACAATGTTTACAGGCTAGAATCCGCTCATGATCAGAAACTATTGGGCGATTTTCATGTATGTGATATGAAGCCGGTCATTGACAGAAAGTAACGACTCTGACCCTGCGGGATGAGTCTTTATAACACCCTCGCGGTGACACGCTGCCTTAATGCCCTCTAGTAACGTATTTGTCAAATCAAACTACTTTGAAGTTCCTATCGGATCTGATGAGGTATTGGTTTACTGTATGATTGTTATGTGAGTGATTGTCCTAGCTTGGTATCTGGGTAAGTTGAGAGAGAAATAATTCAAGCAAATCAGTTTCTAGTTTCCGTATAGGTAGGTTGTAGGTGTACATAACGGAAAATTTGATAGAGTTTTCATCCTAATTTATAGTAATTTACAGTAACGTGCTGCTTGATGAACTATTAAGGACCATACATTTGTGTTGGTGTAGTTGCACAATGGTGCTTAACTGTGTTACTCAGAAGGTCTTGATTTCTTGTCGAAACCTTGACATGCAGATACCTTATATTATGAGTATGGTCAGGGTTATAGCCCTGTACATAGTTGAAGATAGTTGAATTATCGGTTGGGCATAACTGGTAAATTTCATGGAAATTTCTGGAAGTAAGGGGGGAGTGTTACGATTTAGATGGTCCACTCCGTAACTTCAAAAACTAAATTGATCCGATAAGCCGATCGCCGTTCGCTCGCAGATCGTCCAAGTGGAGAATTCGTTCCTTGAAAACAAAAGGAAAAAAGCAAACAGCTGATCTAGGTTTTTGAAAAACAAGTTCTCTTCTGGTCGTATGTATGTGTTGGTATTTCGGAATTGTACCTTTTTCTCTATTGTGCAATAATATTGGAAGTAATGTAACATATTTACTTGACTTACAAGAATAGGAAAGGGCACTGAAGTGAGAACTCGAGTAGGAACGTTATGTAGGAGTAGAATGTGGCTTATTATAGTTAGTTTAGTGTTTCAACGTAAAGAACGAATTGGTTTTCATCGTTGTCTCTACTCCTGGTTGAGGAAGAGTCTAATATCTGTGGGAAGAAGCATTTCAAAGCGATATTAGAAAGAGCTTTCCACCAATAATATTCACTGCAGGGCGGATAAAATACTGTATAAGCAATTGTGTGTTTTCCTTCGTTACTTATTTTGGATACGAAGGTTTTGTGGACGTAAGGACCCTCAAGAGGTAACTTAATACGTATTCAAAAGCAACTGGTGGGTGACTTTATTTATTTTTTTGTTCAATTGATAGGGTTCCAGTGAGGGGGCCACTATTCCTGATTGAACTTGATGTGGAAGTTAATGAAGTAGTCATTTGCGTCTACATGCAATATTGCTGTCTTGGGCAAGTGAAATCGGTAGCTCTCAACTCGATTTCCTGTCTGAATTCTCCGGAGAAAACCGTAGAACTTGTAGTTGTTAGGAATTCTGATTTATTCAAATTGTAAATTTTAAAGTGGCCTTTCAGGTTCATTGAATCATTAGTCAAGACTCTTTTATTTGAACCCACTGGTTCGTTCATTTGAGCAAGGACAATACAAATAAAATAGGAAAAAAAAAGATATAAGATCACACTTGAAATAAGAGAAATAGAGGTTTTGAAGAGAAATTCAATAACATTCTTCTTTAAAAAAAATATTACGTGTTTTGTTCCTAAGGTAACGTGTAAGCGACAACGGGACGTCACTGCGGAGCGTTAGCTGAGTTTGATTTGCCTTTTTTTGTTGTGAGTAAATACATATTAGATGTTTAGGGGCACTCCTTTCTTTCATGTGAATTGATCATTTAGTAATTTGTACCGATATGCCTAACCTGTCTATTTTTGTAATATAATTATTAATCATCTTTATACCGTTCCGATTTGTCTGTTCATACCCAGTCATTCTGGGCAGTCTACTAGTTAGGACTGGCTCATTGATAACTACTGGCGCCCATTCAGGGCGCCAGGAAAATCAAATAAAATTAATCTCGTGGACCCATCCCAACCGACACTTGAGCTTGGGTACGAGTTCACGCACCTCAGCTATTGGTCAGATGAATAAGGATACCTAATATCATTTGAGTAGTGCGTAACAATGATAGCCAAACGATCTATACGAATCGTTGAAATATCTGTGAATTTTTTATTTTATCAGCTCAACTGAATATGTCCGTCTTTGCATTTCATTTGTTCGGACTTCCATTGTTTAATATGATATAAATTGATTTGATATTCCTGAAGGAATCTGTAAAAAATGAAAAGTTAGCACATATTAGACAATGAAAGTCCGAACTAATGAAATGTACCACGAAACATTGTCAATCACCTTTAAACAAACGTCCGTCTTTATACACATTTGAATTTTCTAAAATCTGAGAATGAAATGTTCAGTAAACATTCAACAAATTCGTTTTTTCAGTTATCATTACTTGCGCAAATCAAACGAACATAAGAAGAATTGCCATCGAAGCCGCAAAACTGAAAATGATGGATGAAGGTGAATATGCCATATTCAATTTCGAGTTATATAATAAGTGAGTATGAAACTCATGAAGTGAATTATGATTATTTTGTATCATGTAGTTATTTCGCTAACGAATACATCTTTTGTACTGTTTGTGTCGAACTTGAAACTGTTTAAAAAAAACATATGTTTTTCCGTTAATCAGCTGTCGCCCCCATACGAATGACAACTCTCAGAAGTTGAGAAACTTGTGCGAGCTAAGGACTAACAAAGTCTTACCTTTTAACGTGTGATTTCTAACACGGTTGCAGAATCATCCCAGCTTCAACCAGATGAATTCTCTCGAGAAAAATATCTGGTCGAGGCGGAAATCGAACCCACGACCTTCCGATGGTGAGTCGGTTGCACTACCACCGCAGCCAATTCCACACCTTCACAATCAAATTAGTTGATTGAAAAAATATATTCGGAACGGAACTGTACGGGATGGGACATGACGTGACGAAATGGAATGATGATGATTTGAAAATTTACAATAGTAGTTATACCTACTGTTTCCGAAAATCTCTTCAATTCAAAGCTGAAACAGTATCTCCTCCCGTTCGATGAACTGATCAAATTTCTTGTTATCCCGCACAGAATTAATCAATCGTTCGGTTGAATTTTGCTATCCATATTTCTTTCTGAATGTAATCATTTCCTAGTGATATATTATTGTGTTTTTTGAATTGGGTTTGGTCCACATCATTATCCCTGAAAGATACGTCATGTTATACCACTTCTGATTCAATTATTTTTATAGGGTTATAACTGTGTATGTATTGCAATATATCTTTTGTAACCTGTGTGGACTACACAGTCTGTGCATTTATTCATTTGGTAGTATTCATTTTTCACATGATTGTATGATTTCGTTTCTATTCATGAGACACCTATTATTTTTCGTATACCTTCACTATCAACGTTTGTGTTCCACAAAGATCTATATTGTATTCGACCCTTTTTCTATTGCAGAAGGCCAGAATCAAATATATTGCTCTGCTGATAAAAGTACGCTTTTCTCTTCTTTCTATTTGTATACCCAAATAACACTTGCACATGTACATACATATCCAGTGAAAACAAGATATTTATAGGATGACAGAAACCAAGTGAAATTCAATGCTACGAAAACCCAACCATCATTCTATGAAATCGATTGTGACAGAACTGCATATCATAATGTCAGGGTACTATATCCCGCCAGCTGCATTGATCATTTTGTAAGGTGTCAAATTGAATACCAGTGTGTCTCAACATAATCTCTTTACTGGTGTTGTGAAGTCAACTCCTCAGAAATTCTGAACTTTATTTGGAAAAAGAAAGCTCATCTCAGCAAGTTCTAATGCATTATAAAGCTCAAATTAGAGCTACTCTAGAGTATTGTTCACACATATGGAGTTCCATTCCCGAGTATAATCTAAAACTGATAGCTTCTAACCGGAAAAAATCATCTGCTTGATTGGAAATCCAAACATTACAAACAATCTTGTCACTCTTCTACATATATTTTCACAAAAAGTATTAGACTAATTGAGCTCACTTGATTTCACCCAGAGCTTTTGGCAAAATAAACCTTTTCAGCCAGCTCTCGGCATCCGGCCTCCCCCACTACTATAATCATTAGCATTGGCCTTGACTAACATCACACGGCCTCGATATATATGCAAGATTATATGTCTTTGAACATGCATCTTATCTTGAGATTCGAGCCTGTCTCCGATACGTAACCTTGAGTTTTGACATTGAAGATCATCCTTGAACTATGTACATGCAATACAACCTTGAACGTGGAGTTTGAACTTTGCTATAGAGGGAGTAGATTGCATACACAGTGAAGGCAGGGTTTGATATTGTCTTTCATGTGTACTCTGTACATTTTTGTAAAAGTACAAGTTTGTGATGTGAAAAAAAATTATGCGCCTCAGCGAATGAACAGAGACATGTACACTCCACATAGTTGAACTGATCAATGTGTGTTTGCCCCTAATGCATCTTCAAATGATGCTGTAAAGGGGCGGATGCGACGTCATGCGCTACCTCTTTAGGTAGAGAGTGCACACATCTGCACTTCGTGGAGTTCCGACAATCACTGCCTGCTTGTAAGCTCATCGAGTTGGTGATGTTGTGGTTCCTTTCGACCTTGAACACAGCTCAAAGTCGTGCGAACATGAGAAACAGGAAATGAGCTTGATATCAGACCCTATCTTGGCACGTGTCCTTGAGGTTTGAAGCTACGTTACTTTGAAGTTTCATATTAAATAACTTGAGCTATGTGCGATTCATATAACTTTGAACATGAATTTTGACCATGAGACAGGACTTCACCCTTGGCATCGAGTCGAAGTGAAAAAAATGCTTCCTATAGGAAATATGATGCTAATGTTTCAGCCCATCGAAGCGTTCAGTTCGTAATGCTAGCCAGTGGTAAAAAGATGCACGATGATCCTCTGAAAGTAATTTCAAGATAGAGACATTTTTCATTCTCCTAATAGTTGGCATTTTACACTTGCTCGCTGAGCAGACGTTTGCATTGATTCGCTCAGTCAAAACGAGGATCTAGTGGTGCAAGGATGTATTGCAGTGTTGCTTTGGACATTTTGACAACACGGTGTGCGGTGTAGTTGATTTGGGTCACTTATGGTCAATGGTACATGAATATCTATGTCCCCAATTTCCAGTGTATTTTTTTTCCTATAAGTTATTTCATGTATGCGATCCTTTCTAAGGGTCACTCCTTCATACACATAACCTTCGATATTTTCCAAGATCATAACAACAAACACAAAGTATTTTTCGAGCGTATAATGTGTGCACCAGGCGACCCACTGATATTCATTTCAAAACCATTGTGATGTTATAATACCTAGAACTGAATGAATTTGAATGCCAGGCGGTGAGAGCATGTTTGGACGGTGCTGCGAGTTGGAAATTTGAAAATTTCAGGTCTGAAAAATATTAAGATAGATATAATGAACCGCTGCAAGACATTATTGGTATGCTCAAGAAAGTTCCCCTCACATCTCCACCACTCGTGTAATCAAAATGATCTTGAGTCGCACGTCACATGGCCTTGAGCATGACCTAGAACGTTCGGTGTGGAGTTTGAAACCCCTTCACCACTCGACCTTGACCTTGAATGGCGTCACGTGACCTTGGGCCATGTGCACGTAATATGACCTTGAAGAACACAAACTACTCTCAGTTATAAGCACGTTATATGGCCTTGGTTATGAAGGATGGCCTTTGTTCTTGATACATGACAATTATGTTTTCCAAACAATGGAAAGACTTTTTAAAAACGTTTATTTACACTTATTCAATGAGCTTTAGGACAGAGCCTTCGGCTGCACAATAAATGGAGTCAACTTACTAACTGACTAATCTTGAGAATATCAGAGTTTATATATAAAAAGGAAAAGTGCATTAGATCATTAACGTAAAAGCATTACATCGTTCAGTGTACTTTATCTAAGTAACCTATGACATATTTATGAGATTAGTAGTACAATGTGTTATTCATAAGGCTACATAACTCCTCCCTTGCCAAGATCGGAAAATAAGGGTTCCTTGTTTTGCGATAATTGGGTTTGGTCCTTGGAACTTCTTCGTTTCCTTGGTTTGATGAATTTGAAGTACATCGTGGCAACTATTCCGATTGAAAGTATTAATATCATGATGAGGCTGGTATTCGTCCACGCATGGCTATCGTTAATTGGTTGCAGATTTTCCGCATGGAGATTCTGTGCGATCGTCTCAATATGTTTCAGTTCTTTTCTGACGATGGATTTTAGTTTCATTGGAGGCAAAGACTGGTTGGCTTCTTCTCTAGTGATGTTTAACTTAGGAAGTTCGAATACTAAACTATCATGTAGAGTTTCCTCTTGATTGAATGCTTTTCCATCTATTTCGACATGGCAATTTTCGAGAGTGATTATAGATTGTTGTGAGATTTGGTATATGCCATTCGATTCGCAGTTGGCTTGTAGAGTAACTGTTTGAACTGGTATCACAAGTACTTGATGTGCGTTTATCTGGGTTATTCTTGTTTCACTGAGAGTGACTGATATTCTTCTGCAAATATTTTTGCCTGATTTGATTATGTCGGCAATGCATGGTTGTGTTCTCTGAAGTTGGGAAGTTGTGCAGTAGTAGAGGTTCTCAATTTCCGGGCATCTTGTTGCAGTTGTCCAATACTCATTTGTGTTGAGCAAAAGGAAAGGTTGTTAAGGTGAAATCATGAGATTGAATATGGGGACAGGATACATTTGGAAATATTTGTAATTATTTGCTATTATAGGTGCATGAATTTTAAAAATTATGAAACCTTCTCGTATAATTACTTGAGTTGAAAATAAATTGTAGTAGTTCATATTTCGTACGTCTCTGTGATAGGTATTTTGTCTGGGGAGTGACTGGGCATTATATAGCTCTTCTGATATGAAATTTGGTTGTCCTCTTTGTTGGAAATAATTATTTTGTCGAGTATTTTGTGTAGTGGGTGTACGAGATGTGGTTGACATAGGTGTGGGTTTATTTTTAGGTTTTGGAGAATTTCTTGGGTCAAATACGTTTTTAGGTTTACCAAAAACTTGGGAATTGGTATAGTATTGACGTGGGATTTGTCGTGGTTGAATATTAATTGGTTGACTAGGAAAAAATTGTCTAATAGTTTGAGGTTCGTAGAAATTTTGTGTTGGTCTTTTTTGTCGTTGATCGACGTTGTACGTATTGTCAGGTCGATTATAAAAATTTCGATTAGCTTGGCGGAAATTGTTATTTTTATTATCAAATGTACCTTTGTTTGTGTGATTACTCGTTCGTAGTCTGTTTCTATTTTCACTTTGTGAAAGATTCATCCTTTGTTCATTGTGAAAATATCTCTAAACGACTTCGCTAGCTTGTGCTAAATTTTGAGGGTTCCTAATGTCAAATAAAAGTCTCAGTTTGTCGTCTGAATTCGCCATTAAGACATCGAGAGCATTTCCTTCTGCTTGTTCCATCAATAGAGCTCTCGAGGTTTGGGAAGTA